TCAGTCCAGACTTGATGAGTTAACCTGATCTCGTGGTTTCAGATCTTCAGGTCTCTTCTAAGTTTCTGTTGTTCATGTGTCGGCTGGTAAACCTCCTCAGACTGACTGTTATTTGTCCACAGGGAGAGTTTGGTCACCTGGTGCTTCTGGCCATATTCGACTGTGTGGACGACACCAAGCTGGTCAAACAGGCCGTGCTCTCAGTAAGTCAGATGTCATGTGCTCTGATGACGCTCCATGAGACTCAGTGATTAGTTAAATAACTGCAGTTTTGTATAATGTGAAAAATAATATAAAGGGGGTGTTGGGGTGACGATTTTCAGTTTTAAGATGTGAGAAAAGTTGTGATCTAAAAATCTTGTCTCACCTGTTCAGGAGATCTTGTCATCTCTGGATGAGGTCATCGGTAATAAATATGGTAAGAAGGTGTTGTTGTACCTGCTGAGCCCCAGAGATCCTGCTCACCTGCTGCCAGAGATCATCAAGGTGCTGGAGAAAGGAGACGGAAACGCACACAGGTAACAGCCACACATGTTTATAGACTCGATCTTACACAAAATTCCTGTTGGTGTTGTGACTGCTGTCAGTAAGAAGGGAAAGAGGCACAATGTTCACTGCCATGTTGCCCAAAAGGAACATAGCCACAGTTTCCTGACTGTAAAATTAAGCTCCAAAACGTTCAATATTAATGAATACATGCGACATTATGGAAGAAATAATCACATGTAATGTATTAGGGATGATCAGAATGATAAAATCACAAAAGGGGGGTAGACCCAATCAGGAAGAGTTTTCAAACCAAAATGGGGTCAGCAGCAATTTCAAAGCTCGCCATTTTAGGGGATCCAAAACATCAGAGAAGTGTGGACGCTAGGCGTAAATGTAGATGAAGTTATGCCTTTTGAAATATCCCCTCAGTTTTTAGCCAATCGCATGCACCTGCTGCTCTTAAGCCAGCAAACTTAACTGCTACAAAATCAGCCTTTTCACAGCAGACATTTTGTCTTGTCATTAAAGGAAAAGCACTTCTGAAAAGCTAATTTACAATGATTAGAAACAAACAGCTTCCTGAATGAAGGAAATCAATCAAATCAATCAGTGAGTGCTGTAACTGACAGAGCGATACCTTTTAAATGAACCACAGTGAGATCAGCTCTGTGTTTCTCTCATCAGTAAAAAGGACATGGTCATTCGAAGGAGGGAGCTGCTAGAAGTTGTCTCTCCCCTGCTGCTGGAGTATCTCCGTGACAACGCTGCAGCCATGGTGATGGACAAAGCATCCAGCGTCACAGTTAGTGACATCCTGGCGTCAGCCTGCGGGGACCTGCGGCCTGCCATGACGGCTGTGGCTCAGCTGGCCAATCACGAGTTAGTGCCAGGAGGGACCAATGGACAGGTAGTATGTGTGTGTTTGTGTTACTGCTAGGATTGCTCACCAGAATGAGCAACCATGTCGGTTTTCCTCACAAACTGATGTACTCCAACAAAAGGGCTTTTCTGCTGTTCTTCACTGTGAGTTTGTGTTTCTGCTGCAGCTTCACATGGCGGAGCATCCAGCAGGACACCTGGTGCTGAAGTGGCTCCTGGAGCAGGACATGACACTGGCAGAGGCCGGCAAGGAAGGTAAACACACTCTGATGAATCTTAATTTAGTTCACTTTATGTCACTTATGTTTGGCAACTGGGAAAGAAAATAGAATCACAAAAATAGATATCTGATGACTTAAAATATAAAGAACGTCAAAGAACTTTGTGTCTGCCTCACACACAAATGTGATCTTGACAGTGTAAGACTATTTTAAGGCCACAAGAGGGCGCCAACTACACCAAAAACTACGAACAGCCCAACTTTACACCAAACGGCATTGATATCAGTTTTTAGGACAAAAGTGACAGAAACATAACCACCTTGTGCTGAATATGAGTTAATATATTGACTGTTGATGTCTGTCTCACCTGCCCTCTCAGAGCGGTTTGGCAGGATACTGGTGGACACAGTGGGAGCAGACAATCTGAAGAGATGGGTCAAAGTCAACAGAGGAGCCATGGTGCTCTGCAGGTCAGTGCACACACACTCACACTCACAGTAACAAGACAATGTGATTACAAGATACTCTGCTGTTCCTGAAATGATCAGTCCACCCAAATCACAAACATCTTTTTTTTATGTGTGCAGCCTCCTGAACAGCTGTGACAAGTCTGTGGCCGCAGAGGTGAAGGCAGCGCTGGAGTCCATCAAATCAGAGCTCAGCAGCGTCAGCAACAACAAAGGAGCTGAAATCCTGCTGGAGAATCTGAACAAATAGAGACTTTTTATATCAAACAGACTGGAGATGTTACACACATCACTTCCTTTGCAGCGGTGGGTCTTCTCCCATAAAATGAGACTGCGAGTGCTTGTAGCTGCAAATGGGAACGATTTCAGGAAGTGGATACAACCTGGAACACTGTTGTCATGTCCGTCCCTAATGAAAAATGGACGTGAATTTGTGTGTGTGAATGATGAAATAAAGGTGTTTGCAGGATGCTACAAAAAATAACTGTTAAAATACACAGACGTAATGATGTAAACGTGTACAGCAACATTTCTTTCACAATAAAAGCTTAAAAGAAGAACAGTGCTCTTTGAGCTGCTGAAGGCTTTTAAAGTGAACGATCTGCAGGAAGTGTTGAGTTTGACTGACTGAAGCTTAACACCAATTAAAAAAAGCAGATGTATACAGGCTGCGACAACAAACAGCAGCACAGGTTCTAGCTGTGCAGTGCCACTGATAATTTGTGCCATCCTCTGTTTCACATTTTTCTTCTTAGATTTTCTATCAGCTGAAAAAAACGTATTTGCAAAATAAAGAATATTGTAAGTAATAAATTGTTTCGTATACTTTTTTTAACCAGATGAGTAATTAAAAGCTTTCAATGTAATAAAGAAACTGGAACGGTTGTTCTTGAACCCAGAAAATATTCCAAGGGACATCAAGGGCTGCTGATATGAAAATTAAGTTTTAAAAAATCAAATGAAGTCCATCGGCAAACAATTTTCAGTGTACCCCCACAGATAACGCTGCCATTTAAGCTGAAACTTAGTCTTAAAAACAAGATTTTAAAATCTAAAATTTTGTCTCTGTTTTAGATTATTTCCAAAGAACTGTAAAATATATACAGTACAGGCCAAAAGTTTGGACACACCTTCTCATTCAATGCGTTTTCTTTATTTTCATGACTATTTACATTGTAGATTCTCACTGAAGGCAACAAAACTATGAATGAACACGTGGAGTTATGTACTTAACAAAAAAAGGTGAAATAACTGAAAACATGTTTTATATTCTAGTTTCTTCAAAATAGCCACCCTTTGCTCTGATTACTGCTTTGCACACTCTTGGCATTCTCTCCATGAGCTTCAAGAGGTAGTCACCTGAAATGGTTTCCACTTCACAGGTGTGCCTTATCAGGGTTAATTAGTGGAATTTCTTGCTTTATCAATGGGGTTGGGACCATCAGTTGTGTTGTGCAGAAGTCAGGTTAATACACAGCCGACAGCCCTATTGGACAACTGTTAAAATTCATATTATGGCAAGAACCAATCAGCTAACTAAAGAAAAACGAGTGGCCATCATTACTTTAAGAAATGAAGGTCAGTCAGTCCGGAAAATTGCAAAAACTTTAAATGTGTCCCCAAGTGGAGTCGCAAAAACCATCAAACGCTACAACGAAACTGGCACACATGAGGACCGACCCAGGAAAGGAAGACCAAGAGTCACCTCTGCTTCTGAGGATAAGTTCATCCAAGTCACCAGCCTCAGAAATCGCAAGTTAACAGCAGCTCAGATCAGAGACCAGATGAATGCCACACAGAGTTCTAGCAGCAGACCCATCTCTAGAACAACTGTTAAGAGGAGACTGCGCCAATCAGGCCTTCATGGTCAAATAGCTGCTAGGAAACCACTGCTAAGGAGAGGCAACAAGCAGAAGAGATTTGTTTGGGCCAAGAAACACAAGGAATGTACATTAGACCAGTGGAAATCTGTGCTTTGGTCTGATGAGTCCAAATTTGAGATCTTTGGTTGCCGTGTCTTTGTGAGACGCAGAAAAGGTGAACAGATGGATTCCACATGCCTGGTTCCCACTGTGAAGCATGGAGGAGGAGGTGTGATGGTGTGGGGGTGTTTTGCTGGTGACACTGTTGGGGATTTATTCAAAATTGAAGGCACACTGAACCAGCATGGCTACCACAGCATCCTGCAGCGACATGCCATCCCATCCGGTTTGCGTTTAGTTGGACGATCATTTATTTTTCAACAGGACAATGACCCCAAACACACCTCCAGGCTGTGTAAGGGCTATTTGACCAAGAAGGAGAGTGATGGAGTGCTGCGGCAGATGACCTGGCCTCCACAGTCACCGGACCTGAACCCAATCCAGATGGTTTGGGGTGAGCTGGACAGCAGAGTGAAGGCAAAGGGGCCAACAAGTGCTAAACACCTCTGGGAACTCCTTCAAGACTGTTGGAAAACCATTTCAGGTGACTACCTCTTGAAGCTCATGGAGAGAATGCCAAGAGTGTGCAAAGCAGTAATCAGAGCAAAGGGTGGCTATTTTGAAGAAACTAGAATATAAAACATGTTTTCAGTTATTTCACCTTTTTTTGTTAAGTACATAACTCCACATGTGTTCATTCATAGTTTTGATGCCTTCAGTGAGAATCTACAATGTAAATAGTCATGAAAATAAAGAAAACGCATTGAATGAGAAGGTGTGTCCAAACTTTTGGCCTGTACTGTACATACATACATACATACATACATACATGTATGTATAAAAAAGTGTGCACATAATCTGATAAAATTATTTCATTGGCAGCCTTTGACTTACACATTTTTCTTTGGAAGGTTGTGAGCGTGTGCTGATGACACACACTCAGAGAAAGCCGCACAGCTTTATGATGACAAGATAAAGAGACATAGGTTTATTATTAGACAGAGACGCATGGGGCAGATAAACAGATCTAATATCCATCGTCCAGATGTCAGGTCTTCAATATGATTTATTTCAGTCCTGCTGACGTTCCTGAATCCTGGATTACTTGTGAGCTTTAGAGCCTAATGGGCAGAGTGGATGGATGAAGAGTAGAGGACGGTGATGATGGTGGTGCAGACAGCTTTAGTGTAGCTGTACAGTATGTAGATATAAAAAGAGCGTCAGAACGAATACAGAGCATTTTGGCAAATCAGTCAACAGTGTTTTTTGTTTTTTAATCTTCACCAAATCCACCACACCCATTCACAGGTTGTTTCTCTACCTTTCTTACAATGCATGCTGGGATGGGGTTAACAGGAGTAAACAGGTATGGAAGACGAATGAATAATTAAAGGTCCCCTCAGGAAAAAATACAGTCCTGACATCGGAGTGAGCCAGAAGTGTCTTGACAGAGGTCCAAACAGGTCATGCCACCATGACTGTGTAGTCTAATTTTGCCACAGGGTCTCAATGGTTAAACCGACTGTACAAAATGTCTCTGGTTCATTTCACATCCCTGACAGTCGCTCCTGCTTCCATATAAATCTTACCGTGGACTTGGAAATGTAAAGCCGGGCTCACCGCAGACGGGATGTCCTCGGCTGCACGGCGTCCTCGCAGCACTCTGCGAACCTCTTTGCCGCCCTCTTGGCGAAATGCACCTTCCCGCGGGCCTTGGTGACGGCGGCGTATTCATGGGACTTGAGCTTGGTGTAATAGTCGGAGAACTTGTTGTAGAGGATGGAGATGGGCATGCCATTGAGGATGACGCCAAAGGAGATGCAGGCGAAGGCAAAGATGCGACCCAGGTTGGTCTCGGGGAACATGTCGCCGTAGCCCACTGTGGAAATACTCACCTGGAGGATGGAGGGGACGTGGGACAAAAGAGAAAAGCAGACAGTACTAAATGTAAAGACTCCAGAGCTTAGATGTTGAGGAGATGATGATTTTTGTTTTTTCAAATGGAGACCCTACAGCTGATGCTTTCCTCGGACATGGATTTATGATTCTGAAGGGACTTTCTTTGGGGACATTGAGGAGTTATTTTCCACAGGACTTTCGAAACTAATGTTCTTACTTACATATATTGGTGCTCTAATTTCCAGGTTCCTGAAATGGGTTTTAATCAAAGCTGTATTTTTTTTAAACAGACTAAAACCATTGTTTGAAGAGGGATTTAATATGTATGTATCAGAGAGCAGGTGGAGAACAGATAGAAAGCACGTTGATTGACAGTTTGTTTAAATTTGTGTACATGTTTATGTGTGTATGGACTCACAGCAGCCCACCACCATGCGTGTGGCATGGAGGTGAAGTTGGTGTTATAAACATCGTGCTCCACAGTATACACCATGGCCGAAAACATGAAGATGCCCATGCCGATGAAGAGCAGCAAACAGCCCACCTGTACACACAAACACATTTTATTTATTATCTATCCATCTATCTATCAGTGTATACAGGCCAGGTCCATTTCCACTCACAGATTCTCTGGCATTTTAAACTTTGGCAACACCCTCTTCATTGCTCTTCCTAAAAATGTCATCTAATTCTCATTAGATTTAGTACATACAGCAATTTATCTCAATATTTCTCTTTTTTTTTTGACACAGACCTGCTGGTAGCACTGTCTCAGTGTGAAGCCAAAGGCTCTGAGGCCTGTCGAGTGACGAGCCAGCTTCAAGATCCTGAAGATTCGCATCAGCCGCATGATCTTCAGCACCTGGCCCACCTGCAGAAAAGACAAAACACACAAGAAGAAGAACCAATAAATAAGTTTGACACAAATAAATCGAACCAGTTCAGTCCAGTACCCTCTCCCTGCAGCCCGTTTTACCTTTCCAACACGTGCTACTGTCTCAATGTCCCCAGAGTGCGGGTGCAGGTCTTCGTCCTCGAAGCACTCAAGGGCTATCTGGAGGTAGTGCGGCAGGATGGCGATCAAGTCGACAGTGTTCAGCACACTGCGCCCAAAACTCTTGAGGTCGGGGGTGGACACCAGGCGCAGCAGGTACTCCAGGGTGAAGAAGGTGATGCAGAATGTCTCCACGTACTCGCCATAGAATCTGCCACTGAGCTGGCCCGACGCCGTCTGGAGGAGAAAATAATAGTAAATAATAAAAAAATGTTATTACTCCATATTAGCTTGAATGCTAAGAGGAATTATACACACAAAGCATGACAATGTTTTGACCAGAAATAGTGCCCATTTTCTGGGCACATCTCCAATTGTCGTGGCAACGGCTCCGGCATGTCTCAGTGGTGAGTGCGGTGGGAACTAAGATTTAATTGTTTTCTTGTAATGTTTAGTAGTCTGTATGTGTTGTATATGTTTGATTTATGACATGTGCTCAACAGTTTTTAGTATTTTACAATTTTAACTGGGACACTTGTTTTACCTCTCTCTATATATTTTTACACACTTGCGTTTGATTTATTTGTTATCTCAAAACCATATGAATCTATGAATATAGCACGACACTCTCAGAATGAAAACAGAGGTAGAGCGGGTCGTCCACCAATCGGATGATCAGTAGTTCGAGCCCTGGCTCCCCCAGTCTGCATGTCGAAGCATCCCTGGGCAAGATACTGAACTCCAAATTGCTCTCAATGGCTGTTCCATTGGTGTGTGTGTGTTAAAAAACTGAGTAACCGGTGGAACCATGTACAGTAGCTTCAGCCATCAGTGTGTGAATGAGTGAATATGACATGTAGTGTAAAAAGCACTGTCAGATGACTAGAAAGTGCAGGTCCACTGACCATTTACCATCTAGTGAGTCAATAAGTATTGTATTATCACTCTTAGTAATCTGCTCAGAACATGTTTGCTTTCTTATCCTATTCTATCTCTCACAAACACACACTCAAACTAAAACACACACCTTGTACTGCATCTCCTCCACAGTGTTGAGTGTCATGGCGACCAGAGAGACCAACACGAACATGGAGGAGGCGACGGCCACCAGCTTGGCGGTGACCGAGGAGAACGGCTTCTCCACCAGGTTCCAGATCATCTTTCGTGTCGACCCGAAGGCCAAGCCATCAAATAACACCTCGTTCTCCTCCATCTCCAGCTGGACGACACGAGACAGAAATACAGATCAGACACACAACAGAAGGAGAAACATCATTTTTCATGGCAAAAAATACATGGATACAGTTTAAAAGGTGGCCAACCTGGCCAATTGTGAAGTTTTCTCTAGGATATGTCACTTAAATTGAGGACATAACACTGTGTCAAAAACACAGGTAAATAAAAGGTGTATAAAACATCAGGACAGACAAATTGTTCACATCACAAACTAAAACAAATCTGAATTAAAGAAGCAAAAAATGAATGTCAAGAAAACACAACAGGGAAGAAACTGGCACAACAACCTACATCAGAGTGGGACCTCGGTGATGGAAACATCTGTCTAAATCTGTGCCAAGAAAAAGCTTATTCTCCGCTCTCCCATCTGTCAAGACGGCAGAGCGCAGCAGTGATTTATAATGTAGGTCAGTCAGACATGGAGACAGCCCACGGATTACTGACAAAATCTCACAGGTAAAAAAATGTAAACTGCTGAACCACTGACGCCAGGAGGTGATGACCTCTTGACATTTTTGTTTGCTGTATTTTAAAAATATGGAGCCTGGAGGGGGGTGGGGGGAATAAGTAGTGGATACAGGATGTCATTACATAGTCTGTAGGGACTATTCACTTCCACTGAATATTGCCTCCAGTGTGTCCTGTGGATTACCCAAAGTAAATGGGATGCTGCTTTTATTTCAATTTTTTTTAAATGTCTTTATTCAGTAAGCACTACAAATTAATTTCAATTCACCTCCATTGTATTGAGGTGGAGGCAGAAATCTCAAAACCTAAATAAAACCAAAGCTATATGCACTTATCGATCGCCTGACACTGGAGGTAAGTGGGAAAATTATGTTCGCTCTAAAGAAGAAGGAGGTGTACTGATGTCAGAAAAACATTAGATGCAACAAAAATGAGTTCTCATCTCCTGAAAGAGCAAGAACAGAGCTATCAGACGGCACTATCACTGTCATGTCAGACTAATTTTTAGCATATCAAGATGACTCATGAGCTGTGACTAGCAATTCCTAGCAGGTGTTATACTCTTAGTAGACGCAGTTTAATGGGTCGGCGGGCTGATATTTCTTGCTACAGTAATTAGCTGCTGTCACGCCAGCTCCCACCATGACACAGCAATTATCTTAAGTTTTCTCACAAAGAAAATTTTACAACTATTTGTTATGATAACGTGAGAAAAAAATGCTTCTTTGGGACACGAGCATTATTGTTAGCTATGCTAAATATGTTAGCTAATGTAGCTAGCTAGCGTAAGTGAGCAAGCATATCCAGGCTGTCTTCAGTAGCCTGTTGCCTAGGGGTCAGGACACCAGGTGTTTACTATGATGTTATTCATCCCTACAACAGTAAAAACTTTATCCCTAACCTGATATGAAGTGTGCGCTGAACATGGAAGCATTTTTGATGATCGCCTCCGTCCAGTCCTTTCGTCTTATTAACAAAGAAAAAAAAAAAGTAAACTGCTGAACCACTGATGCTAGAAGGTGATGACCTCTCGACATTTTTATTTGCTGTATGTTAAAATATACAGAGCCTGGAGGGGGGAAAGTAATAAGTAGCATATAATGGAGAAAGCATGACCCACCCTTCTCTGCCTTTGATTGGCTTACCCTAATATTCTTACCCTAAACCAGGGGTTGGCAGCCTTTACTATCAAGAGAGACATTTTTGACCCAAAGTAATAAAGAAAAGTCTGCGTGGAGCCGCATTTGAGGGTATTAATGAAGGTAAAACAGCCTATTAGGTCTAAATGAGCCTACACTAACAGTCTAAATGAGCCTACACTAACAGTCTAAATGAGCATTCATTCATGCTTTACCACAAGGTGGCTACTCTGCAGAGCACTATTTATGATTATTAGGTACTTTAACTTTGCAGAGCTGGCAGTGACAGTAAACAAATCTGTCCATGCACTACTAAATGCTAATTTTATTCCGAAACTCTTACTTTTGTGGATTTGGCATCCACAGCCAACCAGCTAGGAAGACTTGAGACTAGCCACAGCTATCAAGGTTCTGCAAAATTTTTATTTGGTTCAGAGGATTCACATTTTTACAACTGGAGAATGTAAGAATTTCTTTAGGCCTACAACACTGATATATAACCATTATTCATTTCTGTCTAATTTTTTTTCAAAGCCACAGGGAGCCACTGGAGAGGGGCGACATCCATCCCACGGCCTAACCCTGCCCTTAACCAAACCAGTCTCACTCCTTGCACCTAAACCTAACCAATCCAACCAACTGTAGGCTAGCAGGCTATGCCTTCACGATCAAAGTAACAAACATTTGGCTGCTGCGACACGTGTCACATCTTTTACCACCTGGTAAACACGAGGTCGGATGCTGGGTGCTGCTCTTGTGCCTAGGGCGTATTTACCAGAAATCCTGAGTTCTGAGCTGATCATTTTCCAGGCGTTTAAGCGTGTATTAGACATTAAATATTGTCCGTGGGATGGATATAAAGATCTTGGCAGCTCTGAACTAAAATAATTAACTTCTCCTTTAATTTGCAATAGACTGATATATACAGAGGAGGGGAAATATATGCCAGCTGTGACTGGTAGTTGTTTGTTACCACATAGCATGTTGCTATGTTCCAAAAGTTGAGCTATGGGTGTGTTTGGAAACACTCACTGCCGGAGCTTACTTTGGCACAAACTAGACTGTTTGTAAATTCTTTCTTAGCGCTGTTGGAATGTACTGGTACTGCTAAGTTATTTAGAACACCACACTCTCGGAGCAGCAGAGCGCACTAGGGATAGAATGCTACGTTTCTTCGAACAACAGGGCTCTCATTTTAATGCAGAACTTCACATTGGATTTACAGAAGCATCTATGGTTATCTCAGGGCGCAACCTTGAAAAACAATTGCTTGGTAATGCCTTTGCTGCAACGGCATCACTCTTGCTTTTGAGTGCGCCTTCCACGCATCTACATTGGATATGAAGGTGCAATAAACATGGCATGTGTACTGGCTCTATAACCCCACATCTCTTTTACAGCCATGGTAGCTGCTCTGTGAGGCTGTACTTAGACACAGCATACTTTTAACTAAGTTATATAAGCATGCCAACTGCTCACAATGGCCTCCGAACATGCTGATTGCCTGGGTCCAGACCTTGGAATCCATCCACTCCACGGAGCTGACTGATTTGTTTGGCATCATGATATGAAACATCTTATCACCAATCTGCTGATAAGATGTCACTATCTGATGACATCACAAATTTCAAGGCTCTTATTATGTTGGTTGCTCCTCTACTGGGCAAACAAACAGTCACCAGTACCCCACTTGTGGTTTTGCTGACAAATGTCGACAGTGGTTCAGAGATCTGGACACAGGATGTCTTCTACAAGTCTTGAGAGTTACTTAGATTCTTCTCTTATAAAAATCATAAAACACATTGCTGACTCACCTCTGCTATCAGCTGTTTCTGTATTTTCAGCTGCTCGTTGAGCTCATCCTGCCTCTCTTCGAAGGAGATGCGGCAGCAGCGTTGACTGTTTTTGATTCTGACGCCCCAGTAGTTAATCTCCTCCAGGAAGTTGCGGGGACACAGCTCATCTTTAATGTACAACACTCCAGTTCTGATGGAGAGGACAGAGACAGGAGAACAAGGCCCAGAATTATTCCAAGTGGAAGAGGGAAACTCGTCTCTTCTTTCATCTTACCAAGTATTTTATTTTAACCTGTAGAAGTTGAAGATGTTGTGGAAGATTTTCGGGTCCCGGTCGAAGAAGAACTCGTTGCTCTGAACGACATAGTCGTCACACAGGTCCAACTTCCTGCTGTGGTCTGTGTATGTGGCCAATTGGCCGATCCTTGTCTTTGGATACCTGGCAGCTAACCTGTAGGGCAAATGGTACACCTAGAAGAGAGGAAAATAGAATAGATGAAAGGTGAAATATGGGTTAAAATATTACATAATGGCAAGAACTTAAATCATTTGGAGAATGAAGCTGAAGGTTTATAAAAAGATTGTGTGTGGAAAAAAAACACTTTTAATAACTGATCTATTCAGATAACGCCTGTCTCTTCAAATATCTGTCATTAAAGCTGGGGTAGGCAGTTTTATTTTAGAGTCACCGGGGAAAAATACCACACTAAAGCTGAGTGTATTGTAAGTGACCCTTTGCTAAGCCCTGCCCCCTTGAGATGGTCCGACAAGCTGTCGCAGTAAGCGTGGAGCCCACACTGTAACTAACTGCACTCCCTGAAGACATATTATCATATTTTTGGAAAAATGAAAGAGTGATTCCAGAGGGAAGCAGACAGAGGGGTCTACAGTCTGTGTTTGAAGGATATATCCAGGATGTCAGACTGACTCAGCAGCAACAACAGGTTAAAAAGACAAAGATAGTTAGAAGCTAAAGCCGAACTATAGGCTACAGATCACAGTGTAAAAGTGAACCACCACATCACTGCTGATCGCCACACAAGACAATGAATATAAAGGGAAACTTTGCTGATATTGAACCAGCTGTGTGGCATTGCAGTGTGTGCAGATGAACGGTGTTTGGCTTCGCCCCTGTGCCAATGCTAGGGCCCAGACCTCCTCCACCGGACAGGCAGTGTTCTCTCCGGGGGGTAAGTCGAACAACGCTAATCTGCGCTCAATGCGTTGAGACATAGCTGGTTGAATATCAGCAAAGTTTCCCTGCTTCCCTTCACTGGTTTCTGTACAGCAGGGTCGGTCTTTGTTTCACTGTTATAATCATTAAAAAGCAAAAGCAGCATGTGTATACATTCAGTAGGCTATATCTTCAGTAACTAGCTAGCTAACCCTACACTTTTCAGGCTTTGATTTTGGTTTTGGAACAGGGAAGAAACGTATATCTTTTTCCAACCTCTCCAGTATCATTAATACACGACGTGCCCCAGGCACAACATTTAGCTCCAAATCCACAACACCAGCCTGAAAATGAAGGAAATCTGAATCTTGGCTTCATACGTCCCTGGAAGATCTCAATGCTGATTGGCTATCGCGGCACAAATTGTTTAGCTGAAGTTCAGATTTTTTCAACTCTCGTGAATATGCATATGATTCAAAATCGCTTAATTTGCTTAAGTTGCTTGACTGAACAGCTCCCCCTGGTGGAGAATCTGCAGCCTGCTGAATGCGATATCAGTCTGGTTTTCACCGTATCTAATCAAGCAGAACATTTGTGGTAGAAGCTGAGTGAAGTTACCGTTCCTCCCACGTTGATGTTGAGAATGAAGTGTTTGGTTGGAGAGAGCAGCACGCGGGAAGGAGACACCGGGAGTCGATCTTCCTCCTCCTCGTTTTCATACTCAGCATAAAGATCATAGATGTCTCTGCCCAGATCCTTCACAAATAACAAAAAACTTTATGATGATGAATTCAGCATTTTAAACTTTTATACAAGATGAATGAGACCATATAAAGAAAGGATCAAACTACGCAGAATAAAACTGAAATATTAGGTACGAGATAAAGAACATGGGTGTCTTCAGGTAACGGCCACCTAAATTTAATGCTTTTTAAAACCTTAAGATCATTTCTAACAAAATGTAAGTGATTTTTGTAAAAAACAAACAAACAAACATTTCTCTTATACTAGAATTGCAGGTAAGTATAAAGGTAAGTAGTATATATGTCGTCCCGTGCCGAGGTAGGTTTATGGCAACAGGTAAGTGCATTTCTAAAGTAAAAAAATCAGTATAAGGTTCAGTGGAAGGTTTAAAGATTTGTAACATCAGAAATGTGGACTTTTATGCAGAAGTGACGGACTCATTTTGACCAAAAGAAATTAAAGGATGGATAAATGAAAGCGGATAACCTCCTGATCACATTTTGGGTTTACTTGACCTTATACTTCATTCTACTTAACTTAGACCAATTGTCCTCGTTCATGGACACTTTCTTTTGTCCCATCTAGTGGTAGTGAGAGCACAATACGCTAATCCATGTAAAAACAAGATGTCAGCCATCTCTGTCAAATCAGTCTGCAGCCGATCCTGACCCAAATGTGGACAAGGTCCAAAACCTGATCACATTTTATGGTTTTAAGTTGTTTATTTATGATTAATAATGTTTGTAGTTTGATATGGCAACAAATTTGACCAATTTTAGCAACAGTAACAAGCTAAGACACTGTTAATTAGTAAGTATTTGTTTGAGGGCACTGGGACTTAATTATCAGTGACAATGTTTAGTTTTTTATAGTTATTGTGTCCTACTGATCCCAAATAGCTAGAAGAAATTAAAAATGCATACCAAACAAAAGTTCGGGTCTCACTGTGGCAATGAAGACTTCACAAATTTAAACTCAAGACTATTTAATGACTTTTAAGGCCAAATATTTATAAAATTCCATTAAAGATATTTTAAGGATATGCAGACACATGCAAATATTAGGTAAGCATTATCAGAAATACAACAATTAAAGTATAACAGGGGAAACCAAACAAAAAAGAGAACTGAATATATTTGGGCTCTAAATGTTGGTCTAGCAAAACAAGCAATTTTAGGATGTCAGTTTGGGCTCTGGAACATTAATCCGCTATGAAAATATTTGTTTGTCGCAGCCCTGAGCAGTAAAAAATTATTGACTTTAAAAAACACTTTTGTAATTTATCTATTTATTCAAGTAAACCACATTCGACGTGACAAAGGGACATGCTTTTTACCGTCAGCTTTGAAACCAAAATATGTAAAGTGAAGAGCAGAGGAGGTTTGATAGATACTAAAAAAAAAAAAAAACACTCACATCAAATAAGAATAACTAAAGAGTCTGACCTGCATGGAGTTCCATGGCTTCATAAAGGTGTTGGTAAATTCCAGATAGTCTGGCGGCTCTTTGACGGCTTGAGTCCGGCTGCCGGGCTTGTAGCTGGGGAACAAACTCCTGCTACGGGCTCTGAGGTGGGTCAACATGATCGCTGCTTAATGTGTGAACCCTAAAATCATTTAACCTGCATGGAGAGACATCCTGACAACAAACACCGCCTTTCTGTCAAACACACACACACACACAGCTGGCATCTTGCTCATGTGCACAGAACCTTCATGTCTCTCACACACACAAGGCATACTCACAAATGGGTAAACATGCGTGCAAGGGTGGGAAATGTTTTCACACTAATTCACAGAGAAATCATGTCAACACACACACACACACACACACACACGCACACACACACACACACACACACACACACACACACACACATAGTAGTGAGGTAGGAAGTGACTCTCGTCATATAATGCAGCTGACTGAGATGATCCGGGTGCTTAAAGTTTTATCCTCTTTTATCCATCTCTTGATCTCCGTCTCTCCTCCCACTTATTCCTACATCTCATAACTTTACACATCTGGTTATCTGCAGTTGGACGGCAGATCTGAAGTCACTATCAAATAATTTAAAGTGATATTACAGGACTGATTAATTATTCCAATAGCCGTTAATTCTGGTTTGTACATATTCCAGTTTTTTTAAGTATTGGTAGAGAAAGATTTCCGCACACTTACATCTATACAGTGTTTCACTTTATTGTTGAGCTTCGGTCCATTAGACCGTCATCAGAGCATATATGAGGCAACAATGGACAGGCTGGTAAACCTCCTGGGAGTTGTAGTTTTTTTGACCGTTGTTGCCTCATGTATGCTCTGATGAAGGTCTAATAGACTAATAAAGTTGAATCTTTTTTTAATTGTTGTTCAGAATACAGACATGCAGTCAGACTGCTGCAGAGTCCTTCCTTTATATGTAACTGAGACCTACACATCTGACCTCTGCCTTAATCCAAGCGTGTGTTTGACGTATTTTGCCCCACTGATAACTGCAGCAGCCAGATAGGTGGAGATTAATCCTTGCTGCACTTAAACTGGGATAATGAACGGATGGAGCCGGACTCCTTCCAAATAAAACGACTTAACAGCTCCCTCACCGTCTCAGCCTACTTCCTTAACTAACCAGCCTCCTCCTGCTTGTCCCTCAGCTGAGTGATCCGGCCATGACGAGTCAGGAGCTGTCGCAGAGATTAAATTGTGTGCTGGATGCACAGAGGAGGTGGAGGTTTCAGCTGCTTTAGCTGTGTAAGTTTGATGGCTGACAGTTGCTTTTGTTTAATGTCTTTGACTATTCTTGCTGATCCTCAATCATACTTTTTTCTAACATAAATTTGTCTCTTGGCTCAGGAGTGATGTCAGGTCAAGTCTTGTCATGTTTTGGATATCTGAGCTGTTAGCAGTTCCTCCATGGAGACATTTCATAAAGTACTTAAAATGAAAAAATGTTAAAAAAAAAAAAAACCCAACAACATCGCTTTTCCCTTTTCCTTTCCTATTAATCATCTCACCACCCCTCAGAGAAAGGCTACTGTACATTGTGACTTTTTGAAGAGGCCCTGACTACAATGTTCACTACCACTGAAGGAAACTAACGATATTTTAAGTGTAGATACTTTGTCAGCCACAAGAGCTCTTTCTTGCAGAAAAAAGTACATTTCCTTTTCATTAGGGCTGCCCCCTGATAGTCATCCAAATGTTAGCGGACCAGAAGTTATTAGTCAGCAAGCTCTCATTGGTTGCTTAGTTGAAGAAGAAAAACAAAAAAAAACAAATGTGAAACTCTATTAGGAGCTGCACCTTGTCAAAATAAATCAAAACCTATATGACTGGACCATGTGGGAATTTAATTTGAAAGGACAGACACAGGAAGTGACACGCTCAGCAGTCACACAGGAGTCATGTTAATTTCCAGGGCTGGTACCTGCGGTTATTCCACAGGCTAGTTAATAACATGTCGGGCAGGAAATCCAAAGTGTGGGATCATTTTGAGAAGGTGAAGGACGAACCCAAGGTGATATGTGAACTCATCTTCATTGGTCGACTACAAACATGACGTATCATCTGAAACATGGAAGTAGCTACATGCCCATTAGCCCACAGCGTCATTAACAGGCGGCTCGCTCAGTGTGTAACGTGCACTTGTAGATAAAATATAGGCCTATATTAATGAAGG